GTTAGGAAACTGCCAGGGTTGAGATCCGGTGGGTTGTCGTGAATTCGAGCCTCCACGTCCGCGGCCACGTCCCTATCCTCGGTTTCCGCCATTGAAGGGCCGAGATTGACCGCCATATCCATGTCCAGGGCCGCCTGCCTGCCGCTGCTGCCCGCCCCCCACTGGACTCCCGCCGCCACTGCTGGCGCTGAGGAGGGCCGTCGACAAGCCGACGCCGTGGCTGGTGTCGGTTTGTTGTTGTTCGACGAGCAAGAGGGCCGAGCGGACCTCCAAAAAAGTGGGGAACGGAGTTTGATATTGGAGAAACGTAACCTGAGCCCGGATGTCTTGAGGCAACCCTTGAAGAACCTGCAACACCAAGGCATGTTCGGTCACCGGAGCGTCCACATCATCGAGATAATCGGCAAGATTTTTGAGGAGATGACAATATTCACTGATCGTCCGAGTCCCCTTGACGGTTGTTCGAAACCGATGCTTCAACTGCATCGCACGGGCATGTTTATTATCATGAAACAATTTGTAGATTGCCGTCCATAGAGAATGAGCGGTGGGGCTGTTTGCGAGGACAAGATCCGAGACTTTGTTGGTGACGGTGGAGAGGATCCACCCTTGGAGCAAGGCATCGAATTGGTGACATTCAACGTCGGTGGAGGAGGAGGTGACTTTGGTGCCATCAAGGAACCCCATGAGATTGAATCGGAGAATGAGAAGACGGAAAAGTTTGCTCCACTTTTTGTAATTCGGTTCGGAGATGCTTAGTTGAACCAGAATATGTAATTTAATGTTGGAAATAGTAGTGAAGGCGAGATGGGGAATTTTGGTGGCGGAAGCATTCTCGGAAGAGATGGATGAGACGTCGGCCATGGTGATGCCGGTGGGTGACGTCGGAAAAAGGGAGAGAGAGAGATCGGCAGTGAGAGCCGAAGGAGGAGAGAGGGCCGAAGAAGGAGGAGAGAGAGCCGTGAAGTCTAAAGCTCCGATACCATGAAAGATTTAATATTTTCTAATAATGTATAATGTGAGATTACAAGTAATTATATACTAAGAGAATTCTAGTTATGGTAGGAATACAATAAAGGTAATCTACACAAGAATGGTAACTAGAATATATAATATATAATAATATATGCATAATATATTAAATATAGAGTTACTATATTTAACACATTGGAAGGAGCATTTGGTTTCTTAAATGAAAGCTACATACCGTGTGCAATATATGTTGTATGTGTGAAAAAACAAAATTTAGGGTGCTATACACGCTTGCATAATTTTGCACAACATGATTTTAAAAGACAAAGGAAAAAGCCACGGGTCAAAATTACAAGGACGTCGACTCCAGAAGTAGAAATTTTGAACGGCGAAATAAATGAGAATCACATCGAAGTCCGAAGTAGAGAAATACATAACATGTTTAAAAGAGATTTGGTGAAGCATGTTTGGAAAAATTGAGTCGTCAACGAGTAACTATATATTTTATCTTTTATTCCTAGGTTAATTATATTTTAATTCTATGTTTTGTATTTTTAAATATTTAGTCTAATTTTTTAATATTTGTATTGTATAATATTTGTATTTGTATTTTTCTAACGTAAAAATTGTGTAAAAAATATAAACAAAGAAATTTTTTATTAAAACCCCGTCAAGACCCCACCATAACACAATCTTAAGTGATGGAGACTTAATGAGAGGGACATGCCACATGACACTTACATGGCAGTGGTCAAGCCTCCCATCAAGCCCATGATAACACATGGTCTTAGAGTAATAAAACTTTTGTTTAGGAAATCATTGATAGAATAGGTAATTAAATTTAGAGATGGACAATACACCTATAATAAACTTGTCAATTAGAATTTTTTTCGCATTTTGTATAAAAAGTTTTCTTTTTCCTCGAGATCTTGATGGAAGAGGTGCAAATATTTCTGTAACTCCTCTCCACCACTCGTTTTCTATTGCTCTTTGTTTTTCTATTTTCTATGTTAAATAAATTCCGAATTGATAATTTCCTTTTTGGTTTGCGGTGGTTCTAAGATTTTGGTGCGTACTCATTTAATGGTGGTGTTTTTCTCCTTATGTGGTTATTTTCCTCTTATTGGTTTGGATCTGGCTTAGTTATATCCGTCATACTTAAATCTTATGCTAAATATATATGTGCCTTACTATCATAACCAATAGTTGAATCTCGCCACATAGCTCTTTCACATTGAGAAGTTACCTTGAATCATTTTTCATAAAAAGAGATTAACTCCATCTTAGGATCCCCTTAAGCCCGACCCATGCCTACATAAGGAAAGTAAAATAAAATTTTAATCTCAAATGAAAAACAAAAAAATAAGATCTATCACTAGTCTAACAAAGATCTTTATACAAAGTATAAAGTATCCAAAACATAAAACATCTCACACATTATTCGCTAGAAATCAAACTTAGGCCCCGTTCCGTTCAACTTATTTTTTATACTTTTTTCTTATTCTTATTAAAATCAGATCAGATCTAATCAGATTAGATCATATCAGATCAGATCTAATCAGATTAGATCAGATCAGATCCAATCAGGTCAGATCCAATCAAGAATTAGTATTATTATTATCATCATTATCATTATCATTATCGCTATTAGTCCATACTTTTTAAATTCCATACTTTTTACTTGTTTCACTTGATACGATTTTTTCAAAAAATAAGTTTAATTTCTATTGAAAAAATATATGAAGAAAGAAAATGAGACTTTTGTGTGATTATAATTTATGTAGAGAAAAATAAAATGATATGAAACACCATTTTTTTCTTAAAAATGAAAAAGAATGAACTTTAGAAACAAGTTAAATAGAAAACTGAGAAAGTAACCTTTGATTATTAGATGTCGGAAAAATTATTTTTAAAATACTGTGATAATTTCAATCTTATTTTACTTTTAAAATACATTTTTATTGCTACCTGTAATTTGAGTTTAGTTATTACATTATAAAATATGAATGAAAAATATTATTACATTATATTATTACATTATAATATGAATGATTATTCTAATATATGAATTAACTAATTTTATTTCATTTAAAAGTAATCATAAAATAAAAAATATTAATTATATCATAATATGAATTATCATTACAATTTTCAAAAGTTATTATAAAGTCAGATCAAATTATTGATTTGAATTTCAAATCAAATTATAATTAATCAGATCACATTCAATCAGATTGAATTAGATCAGATCAGATCCTATCAGATCAGATCAGATCCAATGAGATCAGATTAGATCAAATCCAATCAGACCAGATCCAGTCAGATCGGATCAAAACTACAAAAAATCAGATGAGATCAGAAAAATAAGTTGAACAGAACGAAGCCTTAGACATACATCTCTATTGATCACATGACTTACATCGCTGAACACCTTGAGCCCTTTTTCATATAAGGATGACACCCCATCCCCTCAGGCCTCTCAGGCTTGAGTATACCTAAAAGGGGGTAAATGAAACTCGAATTTCAAGTGAGTAATAAAGAATGCAATTTGTTCCTTGTCCCAACATAGAATCTTTATGATGAGCATAAATCATCCTACACTTGCCTTCACTAGAAGTCAAACTGTTTAGTTATCTCATCCCACATTGGCACTCTAGACCAATATTATGGTGTTTATAATAGCTTGAGTGTCTGTCTTTTTGAGTTAACTTTTGAAGTTAGATTAGGGCTAAACCTATTATTTCACATGGTATCGAAGATAAGGTCATTGATGTTGGGATTGCAGCGTAGTTATTTGTGTCTCGTGTGAGCGGAGTGTGCTAAGGTTTCTCATCTCACATCGGCACTCTACACCAATATTATGGTGTTTATAGTAGCTTGGATGCTTCAATTTCTTGAGGATTCAATTGAACCCAAATTTATTATTTCATACAAACTCGATCATTACACTCTTTTGCACTCCCTATTGACCACTCGAACACCGACCTCAGACCCACGGGTCCTTTTTTCATAAAAAAAGTGGAACACTCACCCCAGGCGCTCTTACACTCTGGTCCGACAGGATTGTGAGAGAGATAAAACATGATATAATCTCAATCTAGTCCTTAGAGAGCTCACCTCGTACTCGGTGCACACAAAGAACTATTATAAATTATAGAATTCCCAAACTACCACGGTCGAGATTCGATTTTAGAACTAACAAGCTAGATTTCCTTTCTTTGGATCAGTTGAGCTATCGAAGCGGACGATGAGCCCTTTTTCATGATTCTATCAAACGTGTTTGAGAGGGATTGGAATAGCCCTCACACTAGTGGTGTGTTGGCGGATGGAAACGTTATACATGCGTACATACGGACAATACGGTACTGTTTTCAAGGGCGATAACGTAATACATGCGTATATACGGTACTGTTTTCAAGGGCGAAAACGAAAAGAGAGAGAGAGAAAAGCCGGAAAAGGGTCGAATGGTTACAGTAAAGACCGTGCTTCCTGTTCCTTTGCTGTGTCACTCCCGTGCCTCCCCCACTCTCTCTATGTATATATCATCCCCTCCCACCACCACCACCACCACCGCGGCGCCACCCATCACTCTCTCTCTCTAAACTTCACAGTCTTGAAAAAGTTCTCGAGATGGGCATCTTAATTAAAAGAGGAACACCAGTGGACCTCTTTCTCTTGATAGCTTAAAACAAAACAAAAAGCTCCCCTTTTGTGTTCCATATTTAAAAAATTTTCTCGATTTTTTTTCTTCTAAAGTTGTTTTTAGCTCTCCCCTCTCCACATTCACGCACCCTTTTGCCTCACAAGAGGAAAGATCGAATCTTTTTTCTCATCATCTTTGCGAGGAAATCGAGAAATCCCCATACCAACTTCAATGAGTGAGAGAGGCGGAGGGTGAGCCTCTCTCTGCCATTTGTTCATGCAAAAGAAAAAAAATCCCATTTCTTGTTTTTGATTGAAGAAGAAGAAGAAAAGGGAAAGATTTAGTTTTTTTTTTTGGTTCTTTTAAAGAAAAATTAAAAGGAGAAATTTGGGTATGGCTTTGGCTATGCACAGAGAATCATCAAACAGTGGGGGAAGTGGAAGCAGCGGCAAACAGCAGCAGATTCAGATGGACAGCGGCAAGTATGTAAGGTACAGTCCGGAGCAAGTGGAGGCACTGGAGAGAGTTTATGCTGAGTGCCCAAAGCCCAGCTCTCTCAGGAGGCAGCAGCTCATTAGGGAGTGCCCCATTCTGGCTAACATTGAGCCTAAACAGATCAAAGTCTGGTTTCAAAACAGAAGGTTTAATGCTTCCATTTATGTGCTTTCCTTGTGTGTCTGCTTGTCAAACTCTTCACTTTCCCCCTTCACATCTTTCCCTCTTTATCCCCTTCTTTCTCTTTAAAACATGGGTCCTTTATCCAAAATCTTTTCTTTTTTGAGGTGGGGGTGTTTGCTGGTTATATTATTTGTTCTTTGAAGTTTGAATCTGGTGTATTTCAATTGTTTTTTTGGGGGGATTTTTCGGGGATGGGGGGTTCTTTTACAGCTGCATTTCTATCTTTGCAAGTTCAATTTCTTTTTGCTAATTGGAATTTTTTGTTGTTTTTTAAATTATTGTAGTTGTTTTTCTGCAAATTATTTTGTGGGTTTTGAAGAATTCTTCTCTTTTTTTTCATTGTTTTCTTTTAAACTCTTGTTGGGTGTTTGATTTTTATCTTGATAAAGCAAAAGAAAAGAAAACTAGAAAAAGTTAACTCAGTTACATGCTCTGAAGCTTGGGTTTGATAATGAGTTTCCTCATGT